TGGGTAGAAGGATCAGCCAGTATGTTGCGTTGTGGTGTTGGGAAATCTCATTTTTGGTATTTGGGAATGCCTGTCGATGGAAATCCCGGGAATAAGAAGTTATGGGAGCCGCTAGTGAATAAATTTCGAGCCAAACTTGCTGTCTGGAAGGCTGCTTCGCTGTCCTTTGGTGGCCGCCTCACTCTGCTCAACTCGGTACTTTCTGCTCTACCCATTTTTTATATGTCGTTGTTTTTAATTCCAAATTCTGTGATGATTGAATTGATTAGTATTCAGAGAAATTTTCTATGGGGAGGGGTAGAGGGGCAGAGGAAGATCTCGTGGGTGAAATGGGATAAGGTGTGCGGGAGTAAGGTAAAAGGGGGATTAGGGGTAACGGACCTGCGTAGGAAGAATTGGGCTTTGCTAGGGAAGTGGTGGTATAGGTTTGGAGAGGATGTGGAGAGCTTATGGAAAAGGATTGTGACGGAGAAATATTACGGGGGGAACAGGGATGAGGTAGACATTACAGCAGTGGGGAATTGGAGAACGTCTAGAATATGGAAAGATATTATTAGTATAGGGGGTCGCTCTAGGAGGCTTAAAAATATGTTAGTGGAGGGTTTCAGGTGGGAAGTGGGGGAAGGGAACCGAGTGAGTTTTTGGAGAGATCTATGGGTTGGGAATAAAAATTTACGGGATTTATGCCCAAGGTTGTATGAGCTATCTAAGATCAAGTTGGGAAATATTAGTGATATGGGGGTATGGGAGGGGGAAAAATGGAGCTGGAAAATGGAGTGGAGGAGAGGGAGAATAGGTCGAGAGAAGGATGAGGAGGAGGTGTTGTGGGAGAGGTTGGATAGTATTCAATTAAAAAAATGTGTGAAAGACTTTTGGAGGTGGGTTCATGATTCGGAGGGAAATTTCATGGTGAGGAAGGCTTATGAATTTTTAGCTCCTACTGAGAGTATTTTAGAGGACCAATTGAGCAAGCTAATTTGGTGTAGATTAGTACCATCCAAAGTGTCTTTTTTTGGATGGAGACTATGCCTTGATAGGTTACCAACTAAGTGGAATATTATGAAAAGAGGGGTTCTCCTGCAGGAGGAGGAGTTAATGTGTGGTTTGTGTGGTAGTATGGTTGAAGAAGCCAACCACTTATTTTGTATGTGTAAGGAAGCTTGGATTATTTGGGTAGAGGTTCTGAAGTGGTGGGGCATGGAGACTGTTATGCCTAATAATGTAATAGGAGTGGCAGACATTTTTGTACAAGATGTGGGTAGGATAATAGGGAAGGAGATGGGGGCTTGCATCTTTCTTATTGTCTCATGGTATCTTTGGTATTGGAGAAATGGTAAGGTGTTTAATAGAGGAGATAACATCAGGGGAAGATTAGTAGATATGGTTCAAGCCAAGTCATTTTTTTGGATCAAAAACAAGATACAAGGCTGTGTTTTCTCTTTTCATGACTGGAAAGTAAATCCAGTTGAGTGTGCTTCATCAATAAGAAGATACAAACGGGAGCTGAAGCTGGTCCACAAACAGCAGAAAAGAATGGCGACAGAGTAAGACTTGAGGGGAGTGAGTGCCATCAGCGTATCGCAGCAGTCTGGAAGTCCGTCAGTTTCTTGTAGTAATTTGGCTGTCTACTTCTTTGGTTAAAATGTTTCATTTGAATTTAGGATGCCGTTTGTGTTTTGAAGTTCCAGTTGTTGTGATCTTTGTAACATCCCAGCTGATTTTGTATTTGTAATGGGTAGGAGTACCCCTTGTGCTCCACAAAATAAAAAATAAATTTTTCTTTGCTGATCAAAAAAAAAAACTATAACTAACGTGAGAGAAGGACCTTCCTCCCTTTAACTATTTTGATTCGGAAGTGCTTTTGACATTCAATAACCTAACGAGTCCATACTTTACTTCACTACTATCCTTTTTCCTTGAAATATAAACATCCATGATAATAGACCCCATAGCATTCCATCATCCTATTCCTAAGGAAAATTTGAAAATAAGAAACTCCATAAGTTCTTTAACAAATCCACACTGATCATTGAAAATCTACAGTACTTTTGCCTATCTCTTGAAACTAGTGAAGTTCTGCCATGAGTTTCCTATCCTATATATGGCCACTAAAATCCTCCATTGTATCGTTCGCTCTTTTGAAGTCCAAACACTCTTGCCATCACGTTACCAATTTCAAGTAAAGAATAATGTAACTAATTTAATTTCAATGTTAAAAGGCATTCTCACAGAAACATGTACCGAATTTACTTGTCATTCACCAAGTACAATCACTCAATCAATTGGAGGAATGACAAACAACCTGTTTTACACAAAAACAAGCGTGATCGGTTTAGAATGAAGTTATCATTTATTGATTTGAGCATGCTTACTTGGAGTTTACTAAACTGTTTTGATAACCTGAAATTGTATATTTGTAAATTATGGATTTTTCTGTAACTCTTACTTGGTTTAGTCTCCAATATGGTCATGTTTTATTGTGCTTGCTATTGAGAGGTTTATAAACGCTAGCACATGTCAACATGTATTCCTAGAAACCGATTTGCATGTTATTCCTACCAGTGGTATAGTACACTGGTTATTACTGCACTCGTCAGTGAGAGGTTTATAAACGTTGACCATGACCTATAAATGAGACGTCTATTTCATTCTCGTACTTGTACTCGTTTTTCTTAATACTTGATTACACTTGTTAGCATGTTATAACTTTAAATAAGGGCTATTCATATTTTTACATACTGAGTTATCATTACATATAGTTTTTCCTCATCCACCATTTCAAGTAGTGAGACTCAAGACATGGGAAACCAAAGGGAGTGACAAGTTAGAAGGTTAGCCATTTATATTTTGGATATAGATTTTGAGATATAGATCATTCTTTTGTAAGTTAGATTTTATTTGAAGATATTGATCTAAGTTTACGTAGATTATTAATTATGAATTTAACAAGAGTTCCAAGCCTTGTGCATTTGTGGGTTCCTTTCACAAGTGTATGACGTTTATTTCACTCCCAGGTTTGTGATGTGACAATTTAACTTTTAACTTTTTAAACAAAATTTTTTTATAAAAATTTAATAATTTATATGAATAATAATCGAAAACAACTTCCTCTACCATCCCTGCACACAACACCAACTCCTACTTCCCCTATATTTCCATCAAAAGAGGCATAAAAAGAAATGGATTCCTGATAAGTAGCAAATCGAAGATGAAAAATTCAGGACTTTATGCTGAGTCTGTCATAAAGGTTTATATACATATGGTTCATCTATAAATATGTTAAACTGTGAGGGTAAAGTAGAGACTTTGGTTAATTTTCATTAAACAAGCAGGGAAGCAGTCCACAAAAGTCCCGATTTCAGTGCTTCTCAGATTTTAAAGGAAAGAAGTTAAAAAAAACTTCTCAAATAACTTTTGAGTATTTAGGGCAACGGATGCTTTGGGTAAAAAATGACCTCCTTTGCAGCTGCATCAAACACAAAATTGTTTCGATCACCGTATGAAGTATGAACTTGCCATCACAGCTAGTCAAATTTATGAACATATAAAAGTGGTAGTAATTAAGGATTGGAGTACCCTTATACTCTCTAAAAATAAAACTTAATTTGTTTGCTAATAAAAAAAATATAGCTAAAGGAGTATCTTATGAGCAAAATTCTCAATTCAACATACATAACCAAAGCTGGTCAACATCCTTTTTTCTTTTTTTTTTTCTTTTTTTTATCAGCAAGTCAAATGAATTTATATTATGCAAAGCATAAGAGATATTCCATACAAAAGAGAACAAACTTTACAAAAATCCCAACGCAGCCAACTTATAGATAAACAAACCACAAAATAACAAAATTCACTACTCAAGCCAATATATAAAAACCATATTAAACAATGGCTTTCTTCTACACCTTCCATTCTTTCAAGCATCTTCAGAATTAAGCAGTAGCTGCCATACACTCCATAAATCTTGCCATCCATTCTTTCAAGCATCTTCAGAATTAAGCAGTAGCTGCCATACACTCCATAAATCTTGATACCCAAACAGCAGCTGCTATACACTCCATAAATCTTGATACACATAATTTGATTCTTTATTTTTAATTCATAAAATAGACTTCACTTGTATAGAATCTAACAATAAGTGCTTAGAAATCAAATCATTCTCAAACATCTATGAAATCCCCCGACACCAAATTAAAGTTACCAAGTAACTATCAATAATGTAAGTGCACCCACATCCGGTACACGTCCCCGACCGTAGCATCATCCTCATCCAAACTAACCAAGACACTCTACAATCACTAAATAAATGATTAAGCTCCTCCATAGCCTCATTAAATAAACCAGAACCAACATTCCCACCCTGCAAAGCAACTCCTCTTTTACCAAGATTCTCCTTCACAGCTAATCCATTCAGGAATAACCTCTATCCAAATATACTTAATTTAGAAGGAATATTCTTGCACTAAATTATCCTACACCATTTCCAATCAAGAATAGAATCTTCAAGTGTTAAAAAATCATATGCTGCCTTCACAGAATAAAAACCTTCACTACAATACACCCATCTTCAAGAGTCCAACATATCCTCCCTCAATTTCACCACATTAATCATTTCCCTCAACCTTTCCAACTCACCAACTGCCCTCCCCTAACAATCCCTCCTCCAGTCAATACTCAATCTCTTTTCTTTTCGAAGACCTTCCATCGATAAGTTGAATTAAAAATCTTAACAAGAAGCGGAAATTGTAGAAATGCAAAGCAGAAAACTGGAATGCAAGTTAGCATAGACATGACAAGGATTATCCACAGTTGACCTTCAAGCATAATAGCAACACCGGCTGCGAAGGCTATCATCATCACTGCAATTGATATAAAAAGGGTATAAAGCCCGATCATCATCCTTCTTGGTAAGGAGACGAGAAAATCTTTTTCAGAATAACGAGAGGTGAGAACTCCTAAAAACACCAAAACCGAAGTGGATGCAGTAGAGAGAGAAACAGCATCTGATATCACGAACATGATAAATAGTGTATCATGTGAGAAAATGGGAAAACCCGTATCTTTATTACTACCACCAGGAACGGTAAAAGCTGCAGCAAACATCATGGTAATGATAAGGGCGCCTACAATTGTAAAAGAGCCTGCTGTCTGTTTCATCCAGTCCTCTGCTTTTCTTTGCAAATCCTTGTGCTCCTCAGAGAACACTTCACCAGGAGTTTTCCCGAAGTCATTTTTGCATTCCTTGTAATACTCTGGAACAATGCTTTCCACCTTCTACAAATATAAACTTACTAAAGTTAAGTAAGAATTTTTTTTATCAGCATTTAATAAGAAATTTTTTTTTGGTCTGCAAAGTAAATTTTTATTATGCGGAGCATTTAATAAGAAATTAATAATTGAGCATCAACTGTTATATTTGTGGAGAGAGAATATGGGCTATTGAGAGATGACTACTTACTTTAAACCACTGTAGTTCTCTTTGCATTTGTAGCCCTGGGTCAGAGATGCGAGAAAGTTGAATATCAGGAGCTTGCATCCCTGCTATGTGCAATAGATTGTTTCTGTCCTTATCTAATTTAATTGTTGCATCCCTCCATTTGACTTGTTCATATATAAAGTTGGCAATCTTTTCTTGGCGATATGCAATTGCACACATTAATATATCTCTTAAAGTTCCTTCTTCAAGCATCCAAATTATATCTGGATTAGTTTTGATAAGTTCTGTTACGAACTCATATATCCCATTCTTGATTGCATTGAACATTGCTTGGACTGCTCCACTTTGCACAATTTCACCATGCTTTAAATGTAATAGATGTGAACACAAAGTACGCAGAATCTCAGAGGCATAGGTATGGTTCAACTTTTGCTTATAAATATGCTTTCCTATTAACAAGAAACAAGTTATATAATAAAGGAAATAAGGACGTAATCGAATCAAAGTACTACAAGATAATAAAAATGTTATTTGTTTTTTTTATCTTGGAATAAAAATGTTATTTAAGTGCATAAAAAAAAAATAATAATGTTATTTAAATGAAGCTGGTTATCACTCAATAGGGTTTAACAGGAGAATCAAACATTTCCTAATTTTGTGGATTGCAGTTTCCAATGCTGCAGTATGGACTCAGCCAAAGCCAACTCTATGTGAGTATCCCATGGAAAAAAAGTAAATGAAAATGTTTATTTGAAGGTATATAAGGACCTAAATTTATACCAAATTTGTAATTAAGGTCTTAAAGTTGAATTGATCTCAATTAAGGTTTTAGGGTTGTCAAAATTCTTAAATAAGGTCTCAATTGGATGGAAACCGTTAGGTTTGTTAACTTAGTTGTTAATGCACTTAAATTAAATAGCAAAAGAGTCCTTATACTTTTAATTTTAGCTCTCAAAAACCCTAAGACTTTCCAAAACCTCAAAAAGCTCTTAAACTTTTTTTTTCTTTTGTATATGAGGAAATTTTTGTGGGATCCACAACTAAAAATTAATGTGGCATGTATGTGAGCCTCAATTTTTTTGTTATTTTTACATAAATGGATTTACTATGCAAATATGTGGGACCTACCCAAAAATTTTTTGATGAAAAAAACTCAAAAATTTTGTTAATGATTAATTAGCATTTTAATGAATCATTTAAAGAATAATTAGTAAATTATTTCAAATAATTAAATTAATTTTTAATTATAAGTGCCACAAAAATTTTTGCATTAATAAATAAAATTAGTTTGAGGAGCTTTTTAATATTATTGAAAGTTATAGGGTTATTAAAATCCAAAATTAAAAGTTCAGAGACTATTTTTGTTATTTAATCCGTTGGATTTTATGGTGTTAACAAATGATTTAATTGGACCTAACAGCTTCGTGTAATTGGATCTTATTTGAGAGTTTTAACAACTTTAAGACTTTAATTGAGCGTAATAAAACTTTAGAATTTTAATTGCAAATTTAATATAAGTTCAGGACCTTATATACTATTTTAGCCTTATTTGAATGATAAACCTTGGTAATTAAATCGAAGTGCTACAAGATGGATGTGGGATAACGCTTTAAGGGCAAGGGGAAATTATTTAGGGGTTGTTCAGTATAGCAGTTCGAAAGTAGTAATTAACAATTTCGTCCAAATTGTTACGTAAAAGTATAATTGATATTTTTTTTCTCCCCACAAACTGCTACGTATTTAGTGTTTGTAAAAGTTTTTATCTAGTAATATGATAATAGTGGTTAGTGGTTGGAATCGAATCCACTAGCAATTTTTTTTTTTTTTTTTGGTTGCACAATGGGAGGCAACCATCTTCATTTCTTAACCAACCTCACCCGAATATCATACGACTCGAACTTAAAATCTTTTACTTCCAATAGAAGGAGATAACTACTAAATTATTTAAGTTGTTGGCAATCCAATAGCAAATTGAAAAAACTTCCAAAAGTAGCATTTCACTCCAAACCGCTATCATATTAAAAATTTTAAATTATTATGATCAATTTACTCATAAAATAATTAAGTATAAAATACAAATCTAAGCACACAATTTACTTAATTTGATTACTTCTTTTCATGGTCGAGAAAACCTAAGGTCATAGACACCTATGTTTTCTTCTTCTGCACCTCTTATCATGATTCATTAAATTGATTCTTCTTCTGCACTTCCAATCATGATTCATTAAATTGATGGTAGTCTGCTATGCTTTTGCAAAATTTATTATAATTGATCCATTGCAATTACTATTATGATGATATTTAATATTAATATGTTGGTTCCCACTTGAATAGATGTCCAATTTGTTGCTATATTTCTACATTAATTTTTTTATATTCAATTTTAACATTAACTTGCTTATTTTTATTTTTTATTTAATTCATAACCATTTTTTAATTTAATAAAAATTTATTAAGCCATTATAACAAATTAATTTATAGAAAAGGTTGTAATTTTTCTCTTGTACTTAAAATTTTAAAATTAATTTTTTATTAAAAAATAAAACAATGATTGGTACACCCTCCGACGCTGCACAATACACTGTATAACACACTTTGGTTCAACCATTAAAATTTGCATTTTGAAATTTTTTCAACATGAATTCAAATTTGAAAATAAAAGTTTCTTAATGAGTGTGTTGTAGAGTATGTTGAACTGAAAAATATACCAATTATTTTCCTAAAAAATAACAAAAGGATGTTTCATTTATGCATAATAATAATAATAATAATAATAACAAACACAAACAATGATAACATTAATAGTATTATTTTTTTTACAACTAAGAACTTAAAAAAATAAAATTAATAACTTTTTAAATTTTTCTTTATTTGTCATTCAACATTAAACAGCAACTACTAGTTAATTAATAAATAACCAAACAGTTATTATAAATAAAAATTGCTATTTATTATTGATAATTTACTATTTATTATATACTATTTACTATTCGTTACTTATTACCTACTATTTACCATATGCTAACTATTAAATTTCAACTGCTATACCAAAAAACCTCAGTTGGTGTGAGTGCCGAAATGCCCCTTATACTCTTTTTCATAACAATACTTTCTTTACATTCCAAAAAAAATAAATAATATATATTTATTTGAATGAAGTTGGTTATCACGTACCACAGTTTAGTAGGAGAATCAAACTTGTCATCTTGTGGAATGGAGTTTCCAATGCTGCGATATGAATTCAACCAAGTCAACTCTATGCGAGTAACGCGTGGAAAGAAATTATTAAAACATACCATATACTACTTGCTGGGGTTTCAGTAGAGTGTAGAGGCAACAACATATACTTTTCAAAAAACCAAGTGATTATTTTAAAATACATAATTTAAAACTGTATTTCTAGTTAATGGATCTTATTTTGTAATTAAAAAAAAATTGTCATAGTTTATTATTTTACTTTTTTCAATAAATCACTTAGTGTAATCTTACTTTAAGAGTATACTTGATTTGATAACAATAGAGGAAATGAGAAGAAAAAATTTTTTCCCTTTCTGCCATTTTTCTCAAACCAAAGAGCATCTAAGATTCTTAAAATTACTAAGGTCTGGCCGAACTTAACGTTGCGTATAGTGGAATTTACCTTGTCTCTCGAGTTCTTCTTTGCTGTCTTGTACCTCAAGGTCGAGTTCTTTGCTGTCATCTCTCATTAATATACCTTAATAACAACAACAATAAATCAACAAACGAGATCAAATGAAAGAAAGAAAATAACAACAACAATAAATCAATAAAGAAAGAAAATAACAACAACAATAAATCAATCAACAAGATCAAATGAAAAAAAAAAAAAAAGGGAGAGAGAGATATCTCAGCTCTACACAGGTTTCTAATGAAAAAAGTTATTACTAGTAAATATGACAACTAATTAATTAATAAGGTTAAGAAGAGAGTCTAGAGACAGCATTATACGCTCTTCAATTATCCTAAATTAAGATTCTTAAAAGTGCATTACATGTAGTCGAACTTACCTCGTTTGGAGTTCCCAGAGGATACTCTTAGACCTTAACAACAACAACAACAAACAAATCAATCAGTGAGATCAGATTAATCAAAAAAGACAAAAAGAAATCAAACTAGGGCAGAGAAGCTATTCATAGGCCAGGACGAGGAAGCAAAAAGAAGAAAATGACGAACACCTTCTTCTCTTTTAGCCATCTCTTCTTCATTGTTGTTATATATATATTAGGAGAAAATGTTTTACACTCTAAAGTATATAGAATTACACAATATTTACTATTAAATGGGGTGAATCTTTTGATATTAAGGATCCTCTTCTATTTAATAACATCTATTTTACAGTTTAATGCAATTTAAGTTCTAAAATAAGTGACTTTGTATTTCCTTAAATAAATAGTCATTTCTATTAAAAAACAAATTAGGATGAAAAATAAAGAAGACAAAAGTATATACTGACAATTATTTGTCCACCGTTTGCCAGAACAACAGCCAACTTCCACTGAAGAATGCAAATGGGATCTCAGACAATGATAAATTAGGAGCCCAGTGGTTTTCAAAGCCCAGTTATCGGAAAAGAATGTAACACTTTCATTGCAATATGCTAATCGTAGGCTACGACGAGGGCATTTACTCACAGGGAAAAAGAAGACAATGACGGACACCCTTTACTCTTTTAGCCATCTCTTCTTCATTGTTGTCATTTATGTTTCTATTTATGTTTCGGAGAAAGTGTTCTAGAGTGAAAATTGCATAACATTTATTATTTGATAGGTGAATCCCTTAATATTAAGGATCATTCTCTATTTAATAATCTTTATTTTATAATTTAGTACAATTTAAACTACAAAATAAAAAAGTTATATAATTACTCAAATAAAGAGTTATTTCTATTAAAAGAAAAATTAGGATGAAAAATAAAGAAGACGAAAGTATCTACTGACATTTATATATCCACCGTTGCCAGAAGACTAGCCGAGTTCCACTGAAGAATGCAGATGGCATCTCAGACAATGATAAAAATGGAGACTCTTTGTTTTCAAAGCCCACTTTAGAAAAAGATTGTAGCACTTTCGGAAAAGATTGTAGCACTTTCATTGCAACATCTGCCATTAGAATTTGTTGGAGAAAAATTAAGACAAAAAGAAAATTTCATATGCAGAGAACGTAGTTTTAAATTTGAGTAGTATTTTAATAATCAAAATGTTTAACTCCTTTAAAAAGCATATTTCATTTCCAAATTCTAATTAAAATGGATATAATTTGATTTATTCTAAACTAATTTCATAATTTAAAATTTAGCAAATTAAATTCCTTACCTTTTAATTAAATCAAATATAAAAGGTAGTGTAAAATTACAAATGAATTTATCTACTGGGTATGCCCAAGACGTACAATTTTGTAATCCATCTGGGGTATTTTGGACTTTAAACAAATTTTTCATTTTTCAAGAAAAAAAATTACTAATCAATTTCATAAATTTTTTTAATCAAACTAAACATAGGATATACTATATAGAATTCAAATCATGCAACTAGAGCAATAATATATGCAATTAAAATCAAAACTTTTAAATCAAACTAAATATAAGTATGTGAATTTATAAATAAATTCTACAATTTTTAAATTTTGAAATCCATTTTATACCAAACACTAACTGATGCCATGTCACCCAAAAAATATATATTATATATTTGACAACTCTCACCGAACTTTTTGCTTTTAATACTTGCTTGAAGGAAGAATGCGGCGTCATTCATTAGGTCGTTTTTTTCCTCGTCGTTGGCTTGAACATAGTCTTTCATCAATTCATCCCACAGGAAACATGTCATTTCCACATGACCTCCCTGACATGCAGCTAGTAGCGGAATATTTCCTTCACCGTCTTTCATACGAAGCAACCTATGGTTCTTTCCAATTAACTTTCGCGCTGTCTCTGTTTTTCCATGATAAGCTGCAAGGGCAAGAGCTGTTCTTTTCTTTTTATCTCTTATTTCCAACTGTTCTGGAGACATTTCTTTAATCAAGCTATGAACAATACCTTGCTGACCAGTACTAATTGCAGCATGAAGAGCAGTGTAACCATTTTTTGATAATCTTTCACC